CCACAACACAGTGCGGATACACGTTTGTGTGTACGGTCAGTGTGATTACGTAATTTGCATTGCTGCGCGTCCATATTTAAACTATTTTAGCTTTCTAAAAGTACGGCGCTGTCGGCTCACGGCGCATTTTTTTTTTACCGGCATAGTACGGCGCACTGCGCAGGTCGTTAAAATGAAAATATAAATTCCCGCGCACCTGGCACATTTTCCTGACCATGGCAGGAAAGTAACTTGGATACCAGCATTTTCATACATAAGAAATTGATTAAAATATTGAGTAAATGAGGAAATTAAAAATGAAATGATTCTAAAAAAATCTCTGGTTTGCCACTATGCCGATAAGCAGTGTGGAATTCTAGAGGGATAATAAATTAACTAGTACACATAGCATATTGGAAAGCAGGACCTGAAAGCTTGGAACGGCCAAGAACTTTACACTTTCAGTCCATTATTTACAATTTTACATGTCCAATCCCTTTCCAGAATTCCACCTGTGATTGGTTGATAGGATTGTGATTTTAACCCCTTTCAGCTTTCCAGCTGTAGTTGGATAATGGAATTGTAATGTTATCTGCTTTCTAGCTGTTTTCCAAGCCGGTCTATGTTACCCTGTCAGGGCTGACATTAGGTGGTCTAAGTTACCCCATTTGGGGGCAGCGCCCCCCATTTGCAAACTATGACACTTTCCTAAAATTTGTCATTTGCATATGTAACTAGGAGAGTTCTACTACTACAGAGAGGGGGTACTCTGACAGGCTTTCAATAATAGCTTTTTTCGTGGGTCACATTTTTAATTTTTTAACCTATTAGATATGCAAACTTTTCAAATCTTTCTATTGTGTTATGTAGCCTCAGTATTAGGTCTTTAATGCCCATTGACAAAAATTTTCTATGTCAAATAGTTTTTGAGTTGTGGGGGTTTTTGTTAAAAAATGAAAAGTGGTCTAAGTTACCCCGCCGGTCTAAGTTACCCCATTTTACGGTAGTTCCGTTATTATGAATGTTGTGCATCGTTACTTGATTTATTAAGTGATTTGTATGTAATGTGCCCTAATCTTCATCAATCGAACAAGACCGGTTTGACTGGGGGGTATAACTCGGTTACAGCTCATTGTGTGAGCTTTGAAATAGTTTCAATCACGATGAAGAAGATGAACGAGTTAATTTTTGGAGATTCAGGAATATTGCAGAGCATTCTATGGTATTATGAATCGTTATTAGTATTAATGATCAGCTGAGCGCAGGCTCGGCATTGACAAATCTATATGAATAACTTCACGCCAAGGCCAACACGTTATTGTCTGACTGTTGTTACTATACTCTAAAAGAAGGGCCGAATAATATCCATTGATTTTTCACTCACATATGAATTACTGCATAGGAAAGTGTTATAGACCACCCACGACTTTTATAGATTATTATTTGAATAGCGAAAATTGCCAATCTCATGAGAGATAAATGAGAATAATGAACAGTAACCCAGAGGCTACAGTTCAGATTACCTGGACATACTTGGCCAGAGAAGTGCGGATTCGATCCCAGCTCTGTGCGCCATGTGTAATTAATATGATAATAATTTAAATAGGCGTTAGTCGTTATGCATTAATTCTGTTAACCATATTATTTTTATCAATTAAAATGTACATTGCATATGTATTAATTATATAAAATTATGTAAGGAGTGACATTCGGATCTAATATGTACATGGATTGTCCAATGTGTTTAATCAAAATTTTAGTTGACGCGTTAGCAATCTAGTTAACTCATATCCAACCACAACACAATGCGGATACACGTTTGTGTGTACGGTCAGTGTGATTACGTAATTTGCATTGCCGCCGATGCCGCGCGTCCATATTTAAACTATTTTAGCTTTCTAAAAGTACGGCGCTGTCGGCGCACGGCGCATTTTTTTACCGGTATAGTACGGCGCACCGCGCAGGTTGTTAAAATGACAATATAAATTCCCACGCACCTGGCACATCTTCCTGACCATGGGAATGGGAAAGCTTTTCAGCTTGGGTGGAAAGCTTTTTAATAAGTGAACTTCCATTCTTAGAATTCCAGCCTGCCGATAAGTACTCACAATAATTCGCTGCCACCATGACTGTATCTAAGGAAACCTTTCCAGTTTCCACCTTGGGTGGAAAGCTTTTTATAAGTGAGCTTCCATTCTTAGAATTCCACCCACTGAGGTTTTTTAGACTCAGAGCTGCCGACTCAGCTGCAGAGCAGAGAGTTTTTTAGACTCTCCCTCAAGTTAATTTTTGAGTCCTATATATATGTAGACCAGTATAGTATGAATTAGGTAGTATTCTCCTGGATATGTAGCTACCTGCAGGCTGCATATGCATTTTCATACATAAGAAATTGGTTTAAATCATGCGTAAATGAGGAAATTAAAAATGAACTGATTNTAAGAACAGGTTCTTTTGAATAACCTATGGATTGCCACCATGGGTGGAAAGCTTTTTATACCTAAGTGAGCTTCCATTCTTAGAATTCCACCCACTGAGGTTTTTTAGACTCAGAGGCCAGTCTGGCCAGAGCAGAGAGTTTTTTAGACTCTCCCTCAGTCCCTCTCCGTCTCCCTCAAGTTAATTTTTGAGTCCTATATATATATGTAGACAGTATAGTATCATGAATTAGTAATAGTATCCACCTGGATATGTAGCTACCTGCAGGCTGCATATGCATTTTCATACATAAGAAATTGGTTTAAATCATGCGTAAATGAGGAAATTAAAAATGAACTGATTCTAAAAAAATCTGTGGTTTGTCACTATGCTCAGTACAAAGTAGGTGGTAAGATTAGGGTTAAGCCTTAAGGATGTAATAAAGTTTTATTTCAAGACCACTAACCCTAATTCCTAAACAACAAAATTGGCTTAAACTCAGCACGAGAATTTTTTGTTGATCTCACTCATTACTCTGTACTCATAGCCTATGAGACAGAGATACCGTACCTATGAGTCATAGGTACGGTATCCCAATTAATTACTCCCAAAAGGATATTGAACTAGATCAGCCAATGTGAACCGAGTCGAAAAAATTCCTAGTTTGCCCCTAAAGTCCTAAGCATTGGGCATTATTTAATGGGCTACAGGGCAAGCAACGTTGTTAGCTTTTTTTCTACAGCCGAACTCATAGACAGTTCACGGAGAACAACGTAGAAGCCACATGTGGATCCGCAACATTGGGTAAATAACATGTTGCGCCATGTTGCAGCTAACCGAATTTCTCAGTAAGGTTTATACAATTACACTTTAACATAATGCTTATTAATATTGTATTAGTTGGAAGATCAGGTTTTAGACGAAAGTAGTCAAGGTTAGCCTAGATTTTAACTTCATTGAAAAATAATTTAGGTTCGATTAATAGGTCATCTAAAGAAAGATCTAAAGTCAATCGTTACATTTACACAACTATATACAGGACGGCTTCCAAATTCATTACAATAAGGGATATTCATTCAGTTTCTACAAATTTGGATGCTCTAACATTCTCTGCAATTAGAATGAACATCAGTATTGGCTGAACATTTTTGATGTCCACTTTCGAAAAAAATGGCCGGAGTTTACAAAATACCGATTTCAAGTCTTTAGGAGCAAACCTCAGTTGTGATAATGAAAGCGGAGTTATTTTATTTTTATTAGTACTCTTAACATTGAATGCCCTTCAGTGTCTTAACTACTACTCATAGAAAAGAGAAGGTGAAACTGCAGGTGTATACAAGAACACCTAAAACCTGCTGGGCAGCTGTGGGCAAAACTCCGCCTATAGGCAACGCACAATTCCATTCAATTCCTAGCCAAGCAGAAGTCGAAAAAGTGCTTTAAAAGAAATTTTTCGACGCAACTAAGTAGGCAACACAAGAGGGCTAAGTGACTTAACGGAAAAATATCTTGGCGCTAAAGTAACCAACAGAAAAATCTAATGGGATTTCTCAGGCTACACATTCAAATCGCTAACAGAACTGTCGTACGGCAGGTTGACGCGCTGCTATGGGAGAAGCCCAGGAACGAACAGCCGAACACGTACAGCGCATTAAAGATAACTACTGAATGAAGAAAGGTCTACCTTGAGTAACTTACAATTTGGAAACAGAGAGCATGTCTAAGTTTATAAGATGGCGTACAGTAGGTCTTCCATGTGGACAATTCCATGGCTGCTCGATCTGTCCCATGTGGTCAACTAAGTCACGCATTTGATTTTTGGACAAAGCAGTTCCTACCATAATGGATTTGCGACAAGCTCTGCTGGCAAACATGGCACGGACTCGGGAAGGTCTACACATGGCACCATGGGAATCCGACAACATGAAGATCAGTTCATCGATGTCATCCTTGCCAAAAGTCCAGTTGCGGCTCTGAGGAACCGATTTCAGCTTTACTCGTTCGCCAAATTGACGAGATTCGTCTATCTCGAATTTAAAACCATTTGCCGAGAAAATGTCAATGTTACTGATGAGGATGGTCTCGTTCGCAGGAGTAAGCTGCAGAGCTTGAGGTTGTATCAGAGGCTGGTGACGCAAAATGCAGGTCGCTTGTAGAGTTTCAAAATTGTACTTCTCATCGGATGCGTGCTGGTCAATGATGAACAAATCGCTGTCCAAGCGGGTGATCAGAAATCCAAGGTTGAATTGTCCCAAGATTTTCATCTTCGGTAAAATAAGAACAGAAAAGAGCAGATTAATTACTTCAATATTGGTAATAAAATACACAAAACTTAAACTTCAATCAAAGGCTGTGAGTTATCAATGAGTCAGAGCCGAGATCATTTGGGAGAGCCTACAGTGGATCTTTCACCATTCATGAAAAATTTTAAATAGAGAAAAAAATTACCTCAAATGTATACATTTATAAACTACTACGAACCTTTGCGAACATATCCTTATTAAGAACTTTAGTCAGTTCTGCTTCGGCAGCCTTGTTGTCAGAAGGGGCAATTTTTGCATGAAAATTCCGGGCTTTCTTCTTCTCTGCGTCGGCTTTTTCAACAGCACTGACTTTCGTGAGCTGCACACGCAAGTCATCCATAGAAAACTGAATCACTCGAGTTTTACGTTTGGTAACATCCAATACATGATCATCGTAAATGACAGTAGACTCGAGCTCCACTCCTGGAAAGGAGGTATCGTCGGCAGGCAATATGCCAGTATCTGGAGTCAGTAGATGCTGGCTAGAAAGTGGGACCTTAGATATGTGATGCTCTGTTGTTTGGGCATCACTGAATCTATCTTCAGATTCAGGCTTATGAACAAATTTCCTCAAGCTCTTTCTCACATCGACATTCGCAGTTTCAACAGCATTCTCTCTTTCCAGAGTTTGAGGATTTTTGCGAGACACTCGACGATCGAGCATATTGTTCGCAAGGACATGATTGACTCTTGCCTTGCCAGAGGAATAAACCAGACTCTCAGTTTCAGTTATCTGCTGCAAAGCAGAGGTGATTTCTTCGCGATTCTTTTCGTCGATTTCCTTTCCAGTATCTACCTTCAAATGAAGACGAGAACCTGTGAAAGCACGAAAAGTATCACACACAAGTCAACACAGCAAAATAAAATACGTATTGAATGGCCTGATTTCATACATGAACGACTCAGTTTCGTAACGCTCGCTGATGACAAATGTAGGTTCTGAGAAGGGTTCAGCTTGTTCCCACAGGACAACCGCGAGTGTGCGTTGCCACAAATTGCTAAAATGCGCAAAGAGGCGGGCCCATTGTATACAAATATATATGTAGTTACTGAAGAATTTCTCAGACCAGTCGATACTATCTATTTGGTGTAATAAATCTGTAGATCGACGAGTTCAACAATTATGATATGTTGTGTATAAACCTACAACAAAGTTTCCAGCAACAGCGAGCGGTCTCTCCAAGAATGTCTTAGAAACGTATTGTAGTCGAGGTAGACAGTTTAGGATTTAAAGCTGCAATGTTTGCACCGTCACGTCTCATACGCTACACACTTTATCCTGCTGGTGAATTTTAAAGATGAAGCTTCACCTACGGTAACCAGAACTTAAGCGAGTAACCGTCACATTATTTGTTCATTTCAAAACAATCATGATAACACAAAATGAATCCACATTTCCTACACATAAAATGAACGAATTGAGCATGGCATTTAATCTTACGTGCGAGACTTACATTTGGATTTAGCGCCTGTGGAATTGCCTTCTAAGATATTGGCAAGATCGTCGCAGGAATTGTTTGTCAGAGGCTTGTATCTGCAGGGACTTATTTTAGTCCGGTAAATTTGCTCTGATTTGTTGTCAGTGTGAATGGATTTTAGGTGAATGGATTCAACAGCTGACATGTGTGAAGGTGTACTAGTTCCATCTTCAAGGTCGCTTGAACGCGATATGTGTGAAATGGCGCGCATTTGTGCAGATTGCGTTTGAGTTTTGTTTAAAGTTTCCAAACATTTCTTTAAGTGAGAGCCCTGTATGTTCAAACCAAATGAATCGAGCTCGTCATCGTTTTCACCTTCACGGATGACATTATTTTCTGGAGAAGCAATGCGCGTTGTTTTATTAGAGCTGCCGTCATTACCTTTATCGAGCACCACGGCAGTCGCAACTGCAAAGGCTGTTGGCTTCTTACTTGCTTGGAGACGACGAGCTAGAGTCTGAGAAGGTGAGTGTTTAGCCGCATCAGTGTGCGTAGTGCGTGTTAACTGTGCATCTCGTGGCTTCGTGTCAGTGATGTCACCCTCACCGTTTTCAGTGCTTTTAGTTTTGGCGCGTTCATTCGAGGGTACATTGGGATCCATATGTGAGAATTTAGTTGGGGTTACGATGGCATCACCACAAATATCTGAGAATGGTTTGGGAAGTTTGTGTTCTATTTCCATTGGTTTTATTTCAGGAGATGGGAAACTAGACTCGTTCATGTCCTGAGTGCGTTTGGACTGAGTATATGGGGTGTCCCTAATTACAGGAGTGAGAGGCGAGCTTGTGGTGAAGTTTAGCGGCAATGTGTGGGGGATGCCTTCGTAAAGCCGGAGCAAGGAATTCTGCAACACGAAGAGCAAATCGGATGAAGGAAAATGTTCAATACTTGTTGGGTTTCTCAGCGGAGTGCAACCGCCCTGACGAGCGTTGCCATCTGTGATTTACCCACTGCGACAAAGTAACTAGCTAACAAAAATGTAAAAAGGCCTCAAAAATTATGTCTTAAATAAAGTGAAAATAATGTGATAGTTATCAAAATCCGAGCGCAAAAAAAAATAAAACATTAACATCCAAGAAATCAAGTTGGATTCTCAATTATCAAGTCTGATAAAATCAGTCAAAACATTTGCCTGAATTAATGAACGCGTGCGAAAACGCGCACAGAAAAGTTTCAATCTGAATAATTCAAATCATGACGACTAAGCTGTAAAGAAACGTCCAAAAGGAGAATGGTCTCGTTTCATTATATATATTGCTGGTTTCAGAGACATGCCTAGTTACACAGGGTATCGTTCGATACTTTGGAGTTAAAAAAACAGAGTTATTTGTAGCTGGCACACGAAATTTGCGTGTCACAGAGATGTGGGTAGCAAGATAGAAAATAGGTATGGCAATGTCGTCGAAAACCACGTCCAAACATGAAAAATTCGGACGTATTAAGAGTAACGCAAAGATTGATGTAAAGAATATCAAAACATAAACAAAGAATTGCGGGATTCCTATTATTAGCTGCTTGGTTTTCTCTAATCACCTTAGGAAAGGTGAATGGAGCATTAGCACAGTAAAATTTTTCTTTGTGGTGAAAATGCTTTGTGAGCCTCAGTTTGCGCTTAAGGAATTAGTTATTATGTCGAATACTACAATGGATTTCCGAAATATCTGTAAGAGGACTAAGTGGTATATAGATCGAGACATCAGTTCGGTATTTAGCAACAAGATGAACCCAGAATGAAACAGCAGACGGTAAAAGGAAGCTAAAAGCAGAACGATTCATGTTGGCATGAAAGCATGAGAAATGTAATAGCTTACTTCGTGAGACCTAAGGTCGCGCTATACATGAATACTCTAGTCCGCTAGCATCAGTATTACAAATTATTAGAACATGTAATTGATCAAATTCAAAGGTCGACCAGGAAACGCCTACGTTCGTTGAAACTAGCGTACAGGAAAAACTGACATCCAGTCAGTTTCGTGAAGAATTACCCACAACAAAGGCATTTCATACAATCTCACATGAAAGTCGTGAAATGCAATCAATCTTAAATACAATGCGGTAAAACACTCGAAGGACGCACACAACGTTCATTCGGCGACACACAACGCACACAACGTTCAACGTTCATTCATTCTCATACTCAACTGCAATCAATAATTTGCTCATAAGTGGTAAATCTGTTTATTACAAAGGCAAATAATTTCCAGTCAGACGTCGTATTATACCCCACGTATCAAAGGCTCCCAAAGCCTAAAATCTCAATTCCAGTCTTCAAAAACGACAATATAAATAGTAATTGATCATCATGTTACATATTAAGACATCATATTCAAGTTTTACTGGCCACACATGAGTATATCAAGCGAGTCAGTAGAACAAAAAACAGCATATACGATTCCGAAAAGGAAGATACAAACAAAATTATGCTATACAATCAAAAACCATTAATATAGTGAAAAACACGCAAAAATTGTATCAGATACATAGTTAAATTACAACCAGTGCAAATGATTACTGAAGAATTGAAAAGACAGGCATCAATACCTTGAGAGTGATTAGAAGCAGCTTCTCGTTGTGCATCATGACCTGGCGCTTGTCTGGTGTCACGTTGACATCAACACACGCGCGCTGCACGACCACGTTGAGCACCACGAAGGGATACTGATGGCGGTTGTAGCTGTGATACACTTCGTTCACCAGCCGCGAGACCTGCCCGTGCTTACAATGTTCACAACCATGCTAGTCCATGTGAGCTGTCATGTTGGCAAACATGACAGCAAAAACATGTTGTTGTAATAGCCCATCCTGGTAGCGCCGACTAGGGAAGGGGGTGATTTTTTTAGGGTGCAGGCCACTGAGAGTTGTACGACCATCACTGGCTCGCTAATCCGTCCGAACCTTTTTTGTTTGCATTACGTAACACCCTGGATAAGCCAGGTACTTAGTTATCAACCAGAATTAGATGAATGGAAAAGTTGAGCATTAGCTGAACATCCCGGAAGAACTTGTCATCATTGGGACCCGAACCTAGGAGCTGGCTGCAAGAGACCGAGTTTTTCGCCATTGAACCACAGCAGCTCTAAGCTGGCTCAAGAGCTATTACACTTAGTTTAATAATGTACAATGCAAATAATTTCAGTTTGAAGTAATTATAAGGAAATTTTGATACTTCAAATATTTAGACATAGACCGGACAGAATAACCGTCTCCATGAACCTTGTATCACCCAACGTCAATGTTTATTTCATTAGTCCATCACGAAACCAAGCTAATCCCATATAGGGGTGAACGGGCTTAATTTTCCTAGCCAATTCCAGAAATCCTGTTGAATTCTCAATTATCAAGCATGAGCAATGCTTGATCAACGTTGGGCACAGTACAACATTCTTCATTGCTTTTCACTACGAAATGCTCTGCATAAAAGATGCACCCAAAGCGTGGGTGATCAAATTTTGCGAAAAGATTGAACAATCAATGCCCTAACATATTGGATAATATTATAACAATTGAATATGAGAATACTTCCAAATAAATAGAATTAGGAATTTGGACTGTGGAGTTAAACTTAAAATACAGAAGAAAGGTTTCGAAGAAGCAACCTTTATGGGATCACAGGGACGATTGTTGATGAAGTAGAACTGCCGGTCAGGAGCGGCTCTGCCGTGGCCGTGAGCGCAAGAACTGATGAAGCCCTCCACTCGCATCCCAGCGCCGCCGGTCGCGGCTGCGCAGTACAATAAATACTTTGTTATGCGAAACTCCACTGGAAATTTCCTGCCGGTCGCGGCTGTGCAGTGTAATAAACAATAAAAAATAGTTATGAGAAGCTCTACTGGAAATTTCAGTTGCCTCTTAGTGTGCAAGAGAGTTTGAAGTAGTGTTGAATTAATGGATGTCTCCGCCCTCTCCTTACTATCACAGTTATCTATCCCCCTTACAACTTATTTGCTTTTTAGTCTTCTTATTTTGAGTTACGATTATTAATTTAGTCAAGATTAAATCACAATAGGAGAAAACGAAGGAACGGCAGACAACACTAAGCTTTGAAGTACGAATTTCTCACGGTAATTAAAAAACACAATTATACTCAGGAGTGCACTTCATTGTCACTCCACTGATCATTCAATATTCAAACACAGTTTAGTTACTTTACCGTGACCAATAATATATTTTCACCTAAGCAAGTCCAAGTTGCACTATAGGAATTGAGGTTTGAAAAGACCTTCTGAAGGAACACTCACTTCCCTGCAGGCCTGCACCATGCATGATAATGGCGCCACCAATACCAAAAATTTTATTCAGAAGCCTTAAATGAAGCACAACACGAACGTTCTTAAATCAACGAATATGGAATAAGAGCACGTTTTGCAATCATTCATCCGCATGGGGTGTATACAGTTTGCGTAATATTCGTGTAATAAAAATTTTACCCTCATTTACACATTATACCGTCATTATAAGCTATGCCTTACCCTCAGTAGGCTCCTCAGACTCCTCTTCGTCTGACATGCTGTCAACGCTCCCCTGAATCTCCAGTAACGTCTTCACCTGCATTGCAATTCAATGATTAATTCTACGACAGTTTAATGAACATTTCATCACTGAAATTGAAGCAAGATCATTGACTAGAATTTCATACACATGGAAAGAAATTAAGTAATCCAAAAATACCTGAATAATTTCCATTGTATTCCTGAACACTTGAATAATGCGAGTTTTTGTCAAACAACAAATGGTTTTGATACCTGCCAGCAGCATGTCGTTTCTGTTTATAATCAGTAAAATCAAAGTTTATGAGTATTACGTATATGAATAGAAACGATTCTCATTCTCACGAGGATATATATGATCGCCGCAGCCGACACTAAAATCTAAAGCTCATAGGCGATCGTCTTGCTATCAATGTAAAATGACTTTACTAGTTGTTTTGATAAAGTTTTCAAGTTGAAAACATCAATCATTTGATGATTGCAAGTGTCATTTGATGTTTGCAAGTGAAAACCCTCGAGAGTAATTTCAATTGTACATTCTTAAAATAAAAACGGCAATGTTTACGATGTCAAATCTTTAATTTCGGTTCATTAAATGAAAGCTCTCTCCACGATGACGTCATTTCCTCGAATCGCAGAAAATGCTTGTGACCATATTAGCAACAGAGCCCGCTGTTCACCTGTCCCGATCTGATGCGACAAAATTGATAACAAATAGAGCTAATATATTTTGCTAACACAGCCTTGTTTACTGCAGAAAAGTTTATTTATTTTGAATAAGTGCTGGCACTCACCTGTTTGCTGCCAAATAGAGCTTGTATGTTATCAAGAAGGCAATAAGAAGCGTGCGTGGCCAGTACAGTATTGCGTCGGCCATCACTGTTGTTCACCACATGCAGTCTGCAGGTACATTTCATTAAACATGCTGTCTACAATTGTACAGGGTTATTCTAAATGATGGACCCAATTTAATAAATTCGTATCTATTTGTAACCTCAGTAACCTCAGTTACAAATACCTCAGTTAAAAATCTATCAGGTGGCAATAGAAAAACGATCGCCTGACAGTATCACTGCTACGGTGCACTCAGTAACAGAAGATATGCTTTCTCGTGTACGGGATGAGTTTGGCTACCGTTTAGATGTTTGCCGTGCAGCATAAGAGAGACAGACATATTGAACATTTATAAATATGTAAGAGACTATTGCATCTTTTTCCTTCCACTGTTGCAGAAATTATTCTTTTTGATATATACTGAAATAGATATTAAGTTATTAATAAATTGGGTCAATATTTTAGAATAATCCTGTACTTAATTTATAATATGCATAAATCAATCTATGGACTACAGTGCAAATTTCATCATCAGCTCTTGAGGGGCACAAACGCTGCATGAGATCAGGAAATTATAATCTTCAAACCAAATTTATCTTCAGAATAAAAATCGAAAAGAAGAGCTTAGAACAAACAGGGCAGAGATGGAACAGGCAGAAGATGGAAATGCGAGTCCAACCTGATATTTTTACTGATGATGGCATAGGCATAGAGAACTTGCAGCATCTTGTGATATTCTCTTTTGAGGTTGCGCTCAAATTCTCGTCTGCGCACAGGCAAGCTGTAGAAGAGACTTTCTAGGGACACAGTGGTGCCAACCTGACAGAAAGAATATAATCCATATAGTAAGTAATATCTGACTCGAAACATCTACAAGTAACATTACAGTAGAGTCAACCTTGCTGCAGCAACTACTATATTTTAAAAACTCAAAATCAGATGGCTTCATTAAGGCAGAAATGAGACAATGCACAGAACAATGCAGCATTAGAATAAATAATTAAAACTGTAATAAACCGTAAAAAGGGGTGACTTGGAGCGTTTTGACATTGAAGAAAAGAAAACCATAAGCCGTACCGGTACTCAAAAAGTTTTTGTCGTAGATAAATTGTGTTGATGGCTCTTGAAGTACCATGAGCTTAACTACAAATGTAACAAAGACATTTGTTTCATATATTTTCTATGAGACTATTTGTATCACAACGACGTAAGCGCTAAAAATGGTACCGTACCTACAAGTCACCCTGTTTTACGGTAGTAGATATTAGATGATTATAAATAGTAATAGTATATTAAAATCAGAAGTATGCTTAGTAGTTGGGAAGAAACCAATTGTGGATAACAAGTATGCAAAATTTCAGATCGGTAGGATAAGTAGAAGTGTGTTAAATTTCGATTACAAGATTTGTAGCAGACAGACAGACTGACAGACAAACAGACAAACAAGAAGTGAAGTTAAAGAGAAGTGTTGTAAAAAAAGATACATTCCAACTAACGGCAAGTTTTTGAAAGTGTCCAACTTGTGTGAGAAGTGACATAAAGAACAGAATGAGTCGATGAATTCATTAATAGGATGAAGGCAAATTATTTCGCCAAGAATTACTTGTCTTGATGCAGCCTTCTGACTCGTGAGTTTGCCGTCCGCGTCGTACGTGAGAAGCGATGCAAGAGGCTGCGAGGCATGACGAGTGCATACGCTGAAGCGGCTAAGGGCGCACAGAGAGCTCAGGGCTTCACCCCGGAACCCGTAGGTCGCGATGCCACACACGCCCTCAAAATCCCGTAGCTTGGAAGTGTGGTGCTTCAAAGCTGCAAAAATGTCATGGTCATGAAATTTATATTGCCAACTAAGCAAGCAAATCAAAAAGTATATGCTTAAAGCTGCAAAATTTCAGGTCATGAAATTTATATTGCCAACTAAGCGAGCAAATCGAAAAATATATAACACTACAAAGAAACTTCTGTTAATTAAGTCATACACATGTTAATTGATCAACAGTTCAGACGAGATTTTATTATAACTACAATGATAGTTGTACAACTATAATAATGTGCTTCCAACAGACCTAATGCTTCGAAGTCGTTGGGATGTATGCCAGGTCCATCATCAGACACCACGACACTGGAGGCCCCGCTGGCAGTGAGCTTCACCTCCACGCTACGGCTGCCAGCATCCAGGCTGTTCTCCACGAGCTCCTTCACGGCCGTCGCAAGATTCACCACGACCTGCAAGCAGTTAAGGGTAAAAATTTTTCAAAAAATCTGATAAATTACTAGTCAACATAAAAGTTGTTTGATTTCCCGTGAAAATCGTCGTTGTTAAGAGTAATGTTTTCAGCAATAGAATGTAGATAATTCAATTTATTTGCAAGACGAAATTCAAATAATTTGCATTCATTGAGTTTTTGAGGCTAAACAAAGCTAATAGATACCAAGCCTGGGAACAAAACCGAGGATTTAAAGTATATAAAATGAACTGATTGCACACAAAGACGAACTAGGGCATTGAGACAACCCAGAAAAGAATGCCACGAAACACTGACCTGCCCAGAGCAAATTCGGTGCACTGCAGCCCGGTCAATAGCCTGGATGTGTTTGGCAGTCACTAGAGTCGGGGTTGCCTCCCCCTGCCTCTGCCCCTCCCCCGGCCCCGAGGCCACATTGGGGGCAGAGCTTGAGACTGACCATTGCTTGGCCAGCAGGCTGGTGGAGCCAGCACCAGCTGTTCCTCCTCCCCTTCTGGCTCGAATATATGCGGAGACTCGAGCAGTGGTGGCCTCCCCACTCGCTGAGGATGATCTAGGAGAGGGCGTTGAGCCTGAGGCCAAGAGAGCCTGTTCTTCATTAGGTGTTGGTGATGATCTTGATTTCCTGGGTGATCCAGCAATGCAGGACGAGGTTCGTTCAGAAGAGGTGGTCGGGGATTGTCCAACAATGGGCGTCGAGGATTTTCCTGGAAATTGGTATGCTGCATTGGTGTCTCCAGCAATGGTGGCCTCCCCACTCGCTGAGGATGATCTAGGAGAGGGCGTTGAGCCTGAGGCCAAGAGAGCCTGTTCTTCATTAGGTGTTGGTGATGATCTTGATTTCCTGGGTGATCCAGCAATGCAGGACGAGGTTCGTTCAGAAGAAGTGGTCGGGGATTGTCCAACAATGGGCGTCGAGGATTTTCCTGGAAATTGGTATGCTGCATTGGTGTCTCCAGCAATGGTCTCCTCAAGCCCTGAGGTTGGTCCATCATTGGAGGATGTGGGTGATCCAGAAGGGCCGGTCGTGGCTGATAACAGTCCGGTTCCTGGTAAGGACGATTCAGCATTGCTGGGCGATGATGATCTCGATCTGGAGTGTTTAGCAAGGGGCGACGCACACGATCGGGAACCGGGTGTTGAGATCTGTCCATCAAATGCCTTGGTTGCTCCAGTAGGGGCTCGCGATGTAAGTTCCCCATGCGAGGAGAGGGGCTTCGATCCCACGATCTTGATCTCATTTGAGACTGATTGTCTGAACTCCTGAACTGGTCTCTTGATCTCGCCTGACGGTGATCTCTTTCTCTTGAGCGATGGTCTCTGTTCGAAAACTCGACATTTGAACTGGTCTGATCCCTGTAATAATTCGAAGGTTCCATTTGAGGTTCTTCCTCGTCCTCGTGGTAGGCTTGTGAGTGGTAATTGCAATTTGGTGGAAAATTGCCCAGTTGATACATCTCCTCCTGTTGCTGAGCTGACATGAACTCCCTTTGCCCTCTCTGAGAATTTACTGAGTAATCGGCTGACTGTGGGTATTTTGAGGCCGTCATAGTTTGACTCATAAGAGGTGCCATCCCCAAGAGAGGCATTTTCTTTCCCTTCTGGTTCACTTGACCCAATTTCTCGTGTACAAAGGCTTGGGATTGCATCTGCTGACTCCATCCTGTTTGTAGATGGAATGGTCTGATTTCCAGCCTTGCATCTAAAGAGTCCATTGTCCCTGACTTTGCATCGTTGCCATCGCGGCGATAGTCCTGCAGTTCTTTCTGGATCATCCTTTCCACCAATTCGTGTTCGCCCACAGTCTGTGGCTCTTGGAGATAGCCCAGAAAATCCTTCATTGCCGAGAGAGCTGCTGTCTTGGGTTTCTTGTCTGGGTACAAATTCGACTCCACTCCAGGTTCGTCTGCGTACAGATCTTCTTCCATGCTCGGAAGCAAAGGTTTCTTCCAAGCCATTGATGTGGAGTGAGGGCTTTGCAGCAATGGTTTCTGGTTGCTGCTCATTTGGGCTGGATGAGGGAGAAGAGCCATTTTCTGAGGAAATGCAGCAGAACTCTGGGGGGATATCCATGGGTGAGAATCCTCTTGGTAGGACATTCTTTGACAACTCAAGGGGTGATGTGCTAACAAAAGTAAGATAAGTTTGGGGATTAGCTGTGCAAACTTGGAAGGAACTTACTGATGTCAACACACTCATCAGTTGCACTCTCTAAGGTAGTTATTAATTTCATTCAGAATCCACAGCTGAAATGAAATGAGAGTTGCAATTAATCTGAAAGGTAAATCTAATTGAATAAACCATTCAAATGAGAAATGAGACTACCGTATCAACACACATTCATTCAATATTCTTGTGCAATAATTCACTAAGTAATTGAATAAGGCTATTCAATATTATTCAATATTCATTGAATAAGGCTATTCTATGAACTGAATGAAGAGAATCCTAATGCTGCCACACAATGATGCCTGTTATCAAGGCATTTTGCTATTAGATTTATGTACCACAATGTTTGTTTCTGTACAACTGATGGATAGGGTCAATTCAGTGCAATTGATAGTTCATTTCAAAACAATTTCATTACCTGCCAAAACAATTTGTACACTTAAGTTGTGAAGAAATTCACACTTGACATTCATCTTAATCACAACATTAAGAATATGACTGAAAATTTTATTGCTTTCAATATGTACTTCAAACAATTACTATATGCTTCAATACTTCAACATTCAAGCAAGGCCAAGTTTCACATATGACTAATACCGTATAAGCTTTAAATGCATCATATAGAATTAACAGAAAACAATATAAACAAATTTACCAGAGATATAAAACTCAATAAATAAAAATAAAACTCAATAAATTAAAATGATAACAAAAATAAAAATAAAATGATTCTTAAAATTCTCTGGTTTGCCTATGGCTCCACATTGCTGCCCTCCCAATATTATTACACACTTGTGCCCAAAATTATTTGTGCCCCTTCAAAAATATAATAATAAATTCCAATTTTGAACAACAATAAAGATCATTTATAATTTATTTGTCTAGGAAAGGTTGTCATTATAATATGCAACAAATTTAATGCTAGAAAATATGTAGGATATAACTTTCAAAAGTAATTATTTTGAATTTTATGAGTAACAACTGTTCATAATTATTTGTACCCTCATATTCCAGACCATTTATCTGAATACAAACATTAATGAAAGGAGTACTAGAATCTCTATAATTGTATTGCAGAATGTTGTGTTATTAAGCATTGTAATATTTTTCTCTGCAAAATCAGAATATATAATTTTTCAACAATTTAGGGATAAGCTAAAATCTTGCAGATTTCAAAGAAAAAAAAGCTTAGTAATGATCTCAGAAACAAAATTGTAAATTCACGCAAAGAAGGGCTTGGATATAAAGCAATATTTACAAAGTTTGATGTTCCTATGTCCACAATGTAGAGTATTATAAAATAATTCAGATCATTTAACATGGTAGATAACCTGGTTGGTCAAGGAAGGAAGCGAAAAATCTCCCAAAAATGTGCTAGAAAAAAATGCTCTAGATGCAACAATCCTAGGATCACTAGTAAGGAAATTCTGTTAAATTTGGATGCTTCTGGTATGAAAGTATCAAGACAAACATTGCAAAGAACAATGCGTCACAACAGACTGAAGGGTTGTCAACCCAAGAAAAGCCCCTTTGCTAACAGAAAAGCATGTCTGAAGTTTTATGAAACTCATGTTGATTCCCTAACCTCATTTTTCTCCAAGATTTTGTGGACTGATGAGAATAAAATAGAATTATTTGGACATATGTACCTATGTTGCTAACATTTGGAGAAAAAATGTGTGGCTCATAATCCAAAGAAAACAATCCCCACAGTAAAACATGGGAGAGGGAATCTTATGTTTTGTTTCTTTTTTCTGCCAGGGGACCAGGAAGTCTGATTGAAGAATATGGGATCATGAAAAAAATAACAATATCTTGATATTATTGAAAATAACATCGATCAGGATATAGAAAAATTTTCTCTTGGTCCAGATTGGATTCTTCAGCAGGATAATGATCCAAAGCACACATCATAAATAGTAAATAATTTGTTCAAGGATTATCACATCAATGGCATGGAATGGCTTAGTTAACCATTTTGTGGGCAAGTTACCATACATGGTAATTAAAATGGGAGTCAAAAAAAGGCCCCCCCCCAGTCACCCACATTGCTTTGGGCAGACCGCCAACAAAGCTCAAACCAATCACAGATCATGCACAAGTTACGTCATGTGTGACGTAGTGGCACTCTTGGGTCTGTGTGAGCTGACTTAAAAACTTAGTACTCTGGGGAAATAGCAAAATGGCATTTCGGACCCTCATCATATTCACTTTAACAACTCTAGTCCATGAAAAACTCTAGGTGAGTCCATGATAGTTGTGAGTATCATGGTTAACCCTTTAGGCCCTGAATTTCTGGGACAAAAATCGTAAAATTCACTTTTTTGGTTCTAAGTCTCACTTCAAAGCTGACATTCTGACCTATCCAATGATACCAAAATCATCTCTGTACGTTGATTTATGCCTTGACGACAGTTCGTGAAAGTGTTAGGGGTGTGGGAGTTCTTTCACATTTAATATAGGCGAAAATTACTGGTTGGGCACATAAATATGCAACCTGAAGACGCTGATCTTTAGTTACCCGGCTGCTGTCGTGTGGGATGGTGCTCATGCAGTCGTTCCCACTATCCTTGACTGAATTTCAGCTCCAGTAATGTCTAGTCTTGCATCCATGTCACCTTGAATGCCTATTTCGAGGCGCTCGGGACTTTGTCGCGCTCTACTGAACATTCACACTTATTGTCACTGCAAACCTATTTCCTCCCAGAGTTTTTAAGCTACAGTAATGAGTAATAAACCGTTCAATTTGCAAATGAAAGATCTAGAGATTGGTAGAACCTTTTTTTCAATTTCGTTAAATTTTTGAAAATATTTTGAAAAAAGGGGAGGGGAAATTCGAAAGGGTGGGGGGAGAAATAATTTTTTTTTCGAAAAATGCCCACCCCTGTCTCTTATACACATCTAGATGTGTATAAGAGACAGGGCTACAGCTCACACAGCCCGAATGTCACTCAATGTTTTGAAACGCATGTTCCCAGACTCTGAGGGGTGATTTACAGTGGCCTGCGAGGTCACCTGATTTGAGCATTTGCGATTTCTTTCTTGGGGACATCTAAAAGAAAGGGGTTCAGAAGTTGCCCTCACACCCTACCACAGCTAAATGAATGGATTATTGCAGCAGAGGTTATGGCCATACCTCGCCATATGTGTGAACGTGCTGTAGAAAATTTCCGAGAACGACTCCAAAAGTGTGATGCAGCAAACAAACCCCATCTTCCTGATATTGTTTTTAAAACATAAGTATTTAAAATGGTATGTTATGCTAATCTATAGGAAAATAAACATTCTTCTTTATGTACCTCCATTACTCTTATTTCGCCTCAAAACTGTTCAATCAGTTCTGCCCCACCCTGTATAAGCTAGCTAACACATTTAAATTGTATATTGTAATCAATATATAACAAATAGTCAAATAGTTAAAGACTACTTATAGCCTTATAAGAATTAGCTAAACTGCTGGCTGCGTACAATGTATTGCACACTTGATGCCTCTGTACCAAACACATTTATTGGAACCTAATACACACTAAAGGCAACAAGTTTATATTACAATTTGTCATTCATAGTACATTTATACTAAACCATGAATAACAATACCTCAATATAAATTAAAGACTGCCACTCAATATATTCAAATATATGAAAAAAATAAAAAAAATCATGATTTTTTTTTTAAATCAAGTGATTTAATCACACGATTTAATTATTTTGATTTAATCACTGCCAACCCTGGTGCTTAATGATCGATTTGGCCAATTCCCGTTAATTGACACTGATGCACGTGCACTACGATTGATGAGGCCAATGCCTGATGATCAAAACTGATGCATGTGCTTTATGATCAATGTGGCATAACACATAACATAATACATTGTAACACATCATTACATGACACTACACATTATAACATAATGGAATATATTATAACAAAACATAACACCACACATTATAACACAACACAACATAACAATATATTGTAATAACATAACACAATTCTAGATTGTAACACAACATAACAGACTGTAACACCACACATTAAAACATAATGTAACATATAGGACTATAACATAACATAAAATTTTGTGATATAATGCTACCTATACATTGTAACATAACATAGAACAACAACATATCATGATACAACAAATTATGTGATATTATAACTCAACCCAACACATCACAATGTAACACCACAGAATATAACACAACATAACATAATACAGCACATTTCAACACATCATAACATAAGACAACACATAAAACCAAACATAAACCATTATAATACAACATGTCACTACAAAAAAACATAACACAACATAACATAAAAAATAAAAGTCAGTACTCACTGCAGTGAGTGACAGAGAGGTCATTCTCTTAAAATCAATGAAAATGTGAAGTCACAGACAGACAGTTGGACGGACATGACCAGCAAAATAGTGCCTTTTTTCCATAAATGAGAAAATGCGCTAAAAATTATCACACATCATAACATAGCAGTGTAGCAACATAACATTATAACACATCACAATACTTATAACAAAACCTAATATAACCCAATACATTTTAACATAGCATAATCTGTCATGTTATATTATGTTGTTATGCAGTGTTATTCTATTTTGTGATATGTTATGTTGTGTTACAATTTGTGGAGTTATGTTATTACAATATATGGTTATGTTTTAACATAACAATTTGCTATGTTGTTGTACTTGGCTATAAACCCCACACCAAAACTGAGCGCTCCAAGTTCAAGCACTCAGTTTTCAATTGACATTTATATCCAAATTAAAATTTATCTAGCAAGTATTTCTTGCACGTGAGATACTTTGAAGTTTCTCTATACTAACAGCATTGAAATCCATGAAGAAAAGTTCATTTTCAATATTTTTCAGGCTAAAATTCAGGCTCATAAGAACTTGAAATCACAATTTGTCCAGGCCTTTTACTTTCAAATTCGAAATTCTCTACCAAGCAAGGCTAGCTGCTGCAGCTGCCAACACAATGCTGGCCTGCCCCTTTCATTCATTTAGTGTGTAGCTAACTTTTGTTCAGGAAGGTGCTACATTGCTAGTGTATTGTGAGGCGGGATGTAAAGAAGCATT